GAATAAAAACAAGGCGGCTAAAAATGAAATTCTCTCGAATATCAAGAATCCACGCGCAAGATTTAATAACGCTGGGGAAAATTGTAAAACGTTTTCATCAATTATCGCACGTCATATAAACTACAACTTTGGAAATTGCGCTTTTCTTTGTTTTTTTCTTCTGTTTTAAACATGTGATAAAAATCAAGTCACTTTGAGGGCTGATAGCCTGCAAAATCACACCTATACGCTATCTGACTGCTATCATTTCCTATCAATAATCGTGACCGTGGGTTCACTTTTCCCGAATTTTCAACTATTCTTTCCCTCTCAAAACTCGACACCCTTTCCACCAGAAAGTGAAGTTGCCCACCCATCTTCAGCTTTCTAACAAAAATCTTTTCTATGAGAATTGTCTACAGGTCTATGTGAATTGCGAATTCTCTATGTGAATTGTTGTAGCAAGATGGCGAAAAAGAGCTGAAAGAAGAAAATAATGCGCAAAACTCTCTTTTTGTGAAATGATCAACATGCCATACGTCATGCTAATTCAGTTGGATTTTGCCTCCTGAATAGTTTGTCAATTTCGAATTTTCCAATTTTTGATCCAGTTTACCCAAGAGAAGCCGTTGAGATCGTCATCGAAGTACCAAACGTTTAAGCTATGAATGCTCATGATGTGTTTCGTGATCTGTGTGAGCCTGTTATCATATTCATTTAGCGGTAGCATGAGTTAAATTAATTTGCTTTACATTAAAGTTTACACACCGAGAAGAGACAAAAACGGGGGTTTTCCTCAATTTGAAGACACGGAAGGGAGAAATCCTATCCCTCTTGACCTCTTCATTATCTGACAAAGCGAAATGAAGACCTCTTTGGACTTTTAAGATGGAGTCTTCCTTGGGAATTTCCCATTCATTCCAAAATTACAAAAAGCTGCTGTCAGCACTTTTTGCACCATTTTGGGGTGACACGAGATGCACAAAGATGACTCTTGTCATTTCACTCTGTAGGATATGACTGTCGATGAGCAATATCTTTCGCTAGTTTTTTGGAAACTAGATTGATAATCATCAAGAAAATTCTGAGAATTTAAGTTTTGTGTAACGTGTATGACTCATTGCCGATGTAACTGTCCGGTGACATCCCTTCTCTATTGAAATGAGATATGTAGGATGATTCAAGTTTTGTTCCCTGCGCTTGTGCATAGGGTTGGAGGTATTCATAAACCACCATATTAGAAAAGAAAAGAAAACCGTGCAGAAATATTGCTTGCCTTTTGAAGTTGTAAGAGCGATGGACTGAAAGAAAAGAAAGGTTATTGAAGACAGCGTTAAATTGTCCAGACGGGTCAGACATTGTTGAGTTGTAGGAAAAGACAAAATTAACAAAACAAATCTTCAGAATACAAATTGCCAGTTGTTTGGGGCGGTTAC